ATTCAAACCCCAATAAAAGAAGAGTTAGAGGTCCCACTTTAATGACACAAATTGACAAAGTTCATCAAACAGGTGAAAAGATAAAGGTCGAGTTTAATGCAAGAACCTATGAATGTATTGGTGTTGGTAAAAATGCTACACATTTCAAGAGTTATATAGCATCTCTTGCTCGACAGTATTGTAGCATTGTGAAAAATGATTGGAAAGAAGTAGATGAAGGCGTAAAAGATGTTATTTGGACTGATATTCAGGTATTTTAAATACAATACTTTATTATATTTTATAATCATATACTAATTAACAACATATGACATATACTACATTTGTAGGCTCATTTTACTATTCCAGAATGTAAAGATCCAAAGAAGGATAGGTTGAAGAAAGAATGGATTAAATATGCGGGAGAGCGATGGAGAGGTTTTAAGACACAACTCACAGATAGATATATTCATCATCCCATAGAAAATGATCTTCCTCCATATGTCAAGTATAACTTTATTACAGAAGATGCCTGAAAAGAGTTTCTCAAGATTCGAGATACCCCTGAATTTAAGGTTAGTAGGAGTTATATGTTTTTTTGTGCATAACATTTTTATTATATTTATTGATTAATTACTTGTTTGAGTTTATAATAGGAAAAAAGTCAGAAGGGTAAGGATAATGTGGCCAAGAATTTATACCCACATGTATTGTCTCGTGGAGGGTATCGCTTACTTGAGGAGAAAATTATGAAAGAAAAGTCATCATCGAGAGATAATTCCACATTAGATGATAATGATAGTCCATCTCCACCATTACGCCATGAGTTATGGAAGAGAGCATGACAAAAGAAAGGAGGAGAATACACATCAAAATCTACACAAGAGGTTGCTGAAAAAATTGTAAGTAAACAATGAAAAATTATTCAAGTATCATTATATTTGTGATTGATTAATTGATGTTTTTGCATTTTGTAGGATTCTCTTGTTCAAGAAGCTGAAAAAGGTGCAATTGTTCCAGATGGACGTAACGATATCTTATCATTAGCCATTGGAACATCTGAGCATGGAGGTCGTGTTCGTGGTGTTGGAAAACACCATAAACAAAGCACTTACTTTGGAAGAAAAAGTCAACATATCGACGTAAATGAACAACTTGCAATATTGGAAACAAAACTTAGAGCTGAACTTGAAGAAAAGTTGGTTGAAGAGCGTAAGATGTTTCAGCAATCATTAATGGAGACACTTAAGTCTATGGTTTTATCACAAAGCATAGGTGATATTAAATGCATTGAAAAATTGGAAAATATCGATGGAAGCGGAAAAGGAAGTTGTTCAGCTGCAAAGGGAAGCACAAAAGAGAGCACAAAAGACGTGGAAGTTGATGATGTTCAGAGATTGTTACTCATGGTTTTGAAATTGGATGATAACCATTTGGCAATACAATTAAGTCATTGTGCGAGTGTCTCTAATTTTTATGTTTCAGCTAAATGTATCAGAGAGTTATTGGTGGGTTTAGGTCATTGGCTTGACGTGTCTATTCTGCAAATTTGGTGCACGTAAGTACATTTTATTGTTTTATTAAAGTCAATCTCTATTAATATGTTATATCTCTCATCACTTTAATTCTAATGTTAATTTTAAAATTATTCAGGTATATTCATCGTGTTTGTCTTGAGAATTCCATTTCAGAATTGTATGGATTTATGGACCCTGCTAGGTGTATTTATAATGATAATGTAGCGAAATCTCAAGAAGATGTTAAAAATTACGTGCTAGAAAAAAGTTACGTGATGAAAACAGAGCGTGCCACTTACTACCATTAATTCATGGGTAAGAATTTTTATGAAATTGTGTTTTATATTATTTAATTTTGATAACATATATATTTTATGCGACTTTTCTGTTTCCACACACACGTACAGGAGACATTGGCAATTAATAGTCATGTGTCCAAGAGACAATTTAGTTGTCGTATTTTGTTCACTTCATCGGGAAATTGACCAGAACACGAAGAAAATTATTACAAAGTAAGTTTATCTTTCATGTGACTTTCATTGACAACTAATAGTTATGTGATTTTTCATTGGCGAGTATATTTAGTTATGTGATGTTTATATCTTTCTGTATTAGTTCTTTTGGGATTCATCAAATGGCAAATGGAAATAGAAAAAAGGCTACATGGCTTCATCCCAATGTAAGTGTGATGTAAATTGTAATTCTATAGTTAAATTTATGATAAATATTCACTAATTATGTCATTCAATTGTAGACAAGGCAACAACATAACTCTAATGATTGTGGATACTATGTGATGAAAAATATGTTGGATATTGTCTCTGCTAATATAACCGAGAATTGGATGCAGGTACTAAAAATAACTTTACTTTGTTATTTACTTTTTGTTTTTCGACTTAATATGAATTTTTTAAAAATAACTCTATATTGTTATATTTATGTATTATAGGTATTTGATGACCCAACAGAATTAACACCAGATGATTTGTATGATTTGCGACTTCGTTGGGCAAAATGTTTCTTTGAGTTACATGGAACTTAAGTTTATCTTGGTGAGTTTTATAGAATTGTATAAGTTGTGGTTTTTGCACAATACATGTGGTTTTTGCTCATGTGTTGAGTTTCTTGATTTTTTTTGCTGATGTTAATTGTTATTATTTATTGTCAGGCAATATGATTTTGGTGTTGTCTACCGAAGATTTTATATTGGTAATTCAAGTTTGGAAACTTAGAAATAGTTGAATATTTTTGTATATGTATATTTTGTGAATATTATGTAATTGTAAGTTTTGAAAAAGACTTATAAATAGTTGAATATTGTTTTATATTTTGTGAAGAATTTGTAATTGTAAGTTTGTTTGTTGTAATACAATACAAGTTTGCAATTCAATTGTTCAATTTGTAAGTTTATTGTGAAAAATATGAAAACATCGACCTAAATGTGATATATGTGATGTTGGAAAGCTATGAAATCTATATAGCGACATAAATATAGTCTGTTTGATATTGGAAAAATATGAAAAAATGGGTACAAATTATATTTGTATAGGGAAATCCAGAAAATAAATAATCTATTCCAAAAAAATTTCATACATTTTACATCGGTTATTAGTAAAAACTGATGTAAAAACTTTCAAAAAGGGACTTTTTACATCGATTGGGGATAATAATCGATGTAAAAAGTCGCGTCACTGGGGACTTTTTACATCGGGTATTACTTTCAACCGATGTAAAAAACTGGATCAATTTTTTAAAAAAATGTGCATAATAACTGTTTCTTACATCGATTCATATATTATAACCGATGTAAAAAATGGACTTTTTACATCGGGTATTACTTCCAACCAATGTAAAAAACTGGATCAATTTTTTAAAAAATGTGCATAATAACAGGTTATTACATCGGTTCTGATATTATAACCGATGTAAAAAAGGGACTTTTTACATCGGTCCCAGAACCGATGTAAAAAGTCCCTGATTTACTATATCGCCTGACTTTACATCGGACCCAAAACTGATGTAAAAAGTCAATTTCACCCGATGTAAAAAGTCATTTCTGTACTAGTGTAAGGCTCTCATCTCCGCACAAGCTTGTTTCAAGTGATTTCTCCATCAATCATTTATGTGGAGCAAGGGTTTTATTTCATGGACTTCTTTATCATCATGTTACGGGGCTATTCTCTTCTTCTCAGCATCAAGTTGCAAGGCTTCTTTCTTCAAGACTTAAGGAATGTGGTTTTTCTCCCTCGATTGTCAGCTATGGTTGTCTTATTAATCTTTACACCAAAATAGGAAAAATTTCTAAAGCATTAGAGGTTAGCAAAGTGATGAAAAATCTTGGTATAAAACATAACATGAAAACCTACTCTATGTTGTTCAATGGGTTTGTAAAGCTGAAAGATTGGGCCAATGCATTCTCCATATTTGAGGACATTACTAAAGATGGTTTGAAAGTTGATGTAATACTTCACAATAATATTGTAAAAGCTTTTTGTGTTATGGATAACATGGACCGTGCCATTTGTATTGTGAAGCAAGTGCAGAGGGAGAGGCATAGACCCACAACACGCACGTTTTTTCCTATTATACATGGTTTTACTAGAACTGGAGAACTGACTGAAGCCCTACAAAAGACATTTCCTCTTGATTCGACCTCACATAATATTCTTGCTGTCAACTGTGAAATAGAAATTGTTGATCCTATAATTGATGATCATGATGATGATGATATTGTATATTATCCAAGTGAAAGTGATAATGATGAGAGACCACATGACGAAGATCATGGTAATGATACAGGTGATGATTTTTAATTGTTATAGTAAATGGAAGTGGTGTAATGCCATGATTTTTGGGTATTATACTCTTACAAAAAATGGGCATAAATGGTGATATCCTTTGTTCTTCACTTTAAGAATCTACGAGTTGTCATATGTTGTGAACGTCCATTCAAAAAAAACATATTTCCTTTACAAAGCCAATCCAAATACACTATTGTTAATTTAACCATTCCATTACAAAAATACACATCAAAAGTCACATTGAAAAAAAAAAACAAAGTCCACAAATCAAATTTATAAACCTATTATAATTTGAAATCCATGCTCCAAAGCAATATTTCATTTAACTTACAAACAATTCAATAAATCCCATATAGTACATAAACTACTACATCATTCTAATTATAAGGAAATTCTACAACTCAACATACTATCTTCAAAAATCCTATCTTATTCCAATTCTCCAAGTTATTTCTTCTTCACCATTTTCCAAGAGTTTCACCCCGACTCTTAATAACTTGAACTTGCTTCAAAATGATCTGAAACTGCCTTGATTCATACTAAACCATGATACTGTGAAAACCTGCATAATACAAACAGTAAGACAACATTTTGGTTCAGTAACAGATCAAAAAATGGTCCTGCAATCTCAACTGAAGCAGGCGATCAAGCTGGATTCTTGATAGAGGTTGATCGTGACTATGTTGCACCAAACAAAAGTAGTTCATATAAACCACAAAACTAATCCAGCATAACAAAATTTCAAACAACCTATAACTAATAGATCCAAAATAGCCAACCAACTTTCAACCAAATTTCTAAATGGAAGACTAAACAGAATTTCACCTATAACCGGCTCTAACCTCCAGCAGATTCTATCAAACATGTGACTAACTGTAACTGTAACAAAACCCCTTTTAACCATCTCCAAAACTAAAAAAATGAAAAGCTATCCTCCAACCATTTCTCACCCTCCTATAGCTAAACAGAATTACTAACACCCTAACCATAATCTCATATAACTCCCTAACTGCCAACTCAAAATCTTCTAACTATTTTTAAACAGAATAACAGCTCCAACAAATTTCCAGCAACAACCTCTAGTAGAAAACAGAAACTCCTAACAAAAACCTAACTGTTTCTAACCAATTCTATAACAAACTTCCAGCAGAGAATTCAACAGATATAACAAAATCGGAAGAGGAGAGGGAGGGATTCAGAAAAAATAAAATCGATAAAAGAATAATAGAAAAGGAAGAATGGGATTCACGATTCATTCTTGACAAGATTCAGAAAACATAAAAACTTACCAAAAGATCTCAACCCTCTCTCTCTCGCTCAAAACTTCATCTTCTCCAATCTCCTTCACTTTGTGACATCAATCTTCATGAACCTCCTTCTTCATCCTTGTTCTTCTCCCTCTCTCTCTGTTTCTCTGAACCTTCTACCTCATTGCATCTTCAACCTCACCGCATCTTCATCAGTTCTGCTTCATCATTATTCAACCTTCATTTGCTCATCACCAATCAAAATTGTAACTGCATCTTCCTCTTCTCAGCATCATCACAATAATCTTAAAACAAGAACAATTTCTTCATCACCGAATCAATAATATTTTCATCACCATCATTAACAACGATTAACAATAACAAATCTCACAACATAACACAACAACTGAATCGGAAGCAAAGATGAAAAAGAAAATCACGAGTTGTGAATCGAAGCTGGAAAGGTAGTTTACCTGGATCTCTTACGTACTTATCATTAAGAGAAGCCATTAGAATGGAAAAGGAAGACAAATATGTAACTGAGTCGCATCCGTTTCGGGACCGCTATGACGAAATCGGTGCAATAGCGGAGACGAAGTGATGACGGCAGATCTCAAATTAGAGACGGACAGAAGCGATTGATAGAGGGCTCGCATGGCCGCGGATTTGATCGAGGAAGAAGAAGGGCCGCTGCGTGAGTTTAAGAGAAAATCATGGAGGTGTCTGTTGAGGAAGATGATGAACATAAAGGTTGATAATGAGATGAATCAAGAAGTGAGAGCATGATGTTGCACGGATGAAGCTGAATACACGGTGGTGTGCGGTCGAGTTTCTGGTGCCACTTCACAGTAAGGGAGCTCATTTTGCATTCAGAAGGAGGCATAGGGTCACATTAACCCTAATTCATAATCTGTACCATTACTATTATTATTTTTATTTATTTGTTTGAATAAACTGAATAACAATAATACCATAATATGCTAAAAATATTTAATGAAGATATCATGATTTTGTTTGATTCTTTGGACGCATCATTGTTCACACTCCCTAAGGCCCAGTATCATCACTTTTTGGTGATCTTGTGTGTTAGTGAACAAAAAAGGGTTGCTGGGTTGTTTACAATTGGGCCACGTGCCAATTCCAGCACTACACACCTAATACAATTTATATACCCCCCCTATTTTAGTTTTGAAGTTTCTTTTTTTATTGGCTTTCATTTTAATTTCTCTTGGTCATGATTTTTGTTAATATAAATACATGACAAACAATAAAAAGATGTTAATATAACTCTTTGGAATTTATTTTTAGAATTTTGATCAGAGTTTTATTATCATTTTTATGTTTGCTAATCATTTGGTTTCCATTGCTGTTGAGAGTTTATGACAGTATTGAGGCAAATATTCTGTGATGTGGAATGTTTGGAGGCTAATTCTTTGATCACTCGAGTGGAGCAGCTTCTGTAGAGTTTTCTTATCACTTGCATGGTTTTGAAGAGGCAACGGACCTTCTTCGTTCGGTATCAACGCAACTTCATTTATTCCTCATCTTCACACTTTACTACATTTCTTTACTGCTTTTCTGAAAATCATGAGAAGTAGGACTTTACCGCTTTCTGATGGCATGAGAAGTAGAGTGGAGATGTATGACGAGGGGTCTCTGTTACTGATCATGTCAGGAACCCCTATGGTTTATTTAAAGACCTGTTTAGGGCAATTCCGCATTGTGTGCATTTTATCTGTTAGTTGTGGTTGTTTAAAACCCTACCTTTGAGTTGGTATTCCGCACGCGTGTTTATATTAGTGTCCACTGTAATACGATGGGAGAACTAACTTGGTTGTTTTGCGTTTGATCCCAATTGTTGTGGATATCAAGAGTCGCCACCGACTTTTCTTTTATCCAATAAGGAAAGGGTGAAAATAACAGGAAATACCTTTGAGATATTTTCTTGAGTTTGGGGGATAGGTTATGAAAAGGGAATGTGTTAGCACCCTTTTCATCCATAGTTATCTATGGGATCTTAGTTGCTTGCTAGATCACTTTTGAAATTGCTTTGTTTGAAATGTGTTTGTGGTGGGTTTGGAAAGTATTTTTGAAAAGCGCCTTCGTTTAGGCAAACTTCATAATGACTCTCGTCTCTATAAGAATGCATACAAAGTGTTGAACTTATTGAAAATATTTCATGTTTTTTTAAAGGGTTTAGTGTGTTTGAAAAGATGTTTGTTTTTGAAGATGGATTGTGAGCAAGCAACTAAGAACGTTCTACCTACTCAAAAGTCTTTTGTTCATTTCTCTCTTCCTTTGACATTGCTATCTCACCATTCATTGGTAAGTAACCTTATCTTTGGATGTAAAGGGACATGTGTGGCTCATCGTATAGTCGTAAGATGCAATGTTGTGATATACCTTAGCATATTTCTTAAGGGTATAAGATCATTTGTAAGGCAACATCCGAAGCGTCATCGAGGGACTATGATCTTGTGTTTTTTATTGTTCTTTGCTAAGGCGTCTCACATGCATAACATGATCATTTTTAAGGCAACAAAGTGGAGTAGACCCTAGAGGTGCAAAGTGTGTAAGTGTTTGTATTTCATGCTTGGTTTATCTTGGATTAGGATTTTCTAAGCATTGATTTTATCTTTCCATACAAACCCTAAATTAACTAGAATTTATATGAAAGCAATAAATTGCGGAAAGTAAATATCATACGTTATTACATCATTTTTGGGGAATGGGTAATACAAATGTACAAATGGGGATTGCAAGAAATTAGAACCAATTATCTATTACAACCATATTGGAATTTGAATAATGTACAAGAATTGAAATGTATATAATGTACAAGACATGAATGAAAATAAAATGAATTTGTTTTGATTTTGTTTAAGAAAATATTTTAACCTAATTTTCTAAAAGAAGATAAATAGTCAGAAGTAAGAAAATTAAACTAAGTTAATTTTAATTTAGACAAAGAGAATGGACTAAATCTAAGTTTAATATTAAGTTAAAGAAAAGAAATTAAATAGAAAAATATTTTTGGTCTTTTTTTATTTTATGAAGTTAAATAAAAATAAACTAAATAATTTAAATGCTTAATATAATATTTTTGGTGTTTTTTTTATTAATAATAAAAATAATAGTAATGATACTAAAATAATAAAAGAAAGACAATAAAATAAAAATACAAAGTTAAAGTCAGGGGGGTTCAGAAAATGGAAAGGATGTTTGTACGTAAAAACTAATTTCGGTTTGGTTCAGGCCCAGATGTGTTTTTGTGATCAGAATCAGCAAGAAAATAGCAAGTTTATGTTGGGCTGCATGATAAAAAAAGGATGGGGGTGTAGTTGGAAGCAACATGAAAAAAACCCAGAAGTTCTAGCATAGGCGCGCTGCTAATAAGTGATGCTGGAAGCAAAAATGAGACAGCCTAGAAGTTCTGGCCCAGGCATGTTGTTAACAATTAAATGAGGGGGGATGCTAGAAGAAAAAATGAGACAGCCTAGAAGTTTTAGCCCAGGCGTGTTTTTAACAAATACATGGGGTAAAATGTTAAGAAATGAAAACAAAAGGTGCTCATGGGGCTAGAACCCAGGACCCTTAACATTAATTCCTTACGCGTGCGCTCTCTACCACTGGGGTGGCTATACATCTGGTATTATAAACAAAACCATAAATATATATTACAAAATCAGTTCTGATGATGAACTTCATTTTCTTCCTCGCGCCAGCCATAGCATCTGCAACTCATTCATTTCTCAACCAAAATGGAAAATGTAAACGTGAAAGTTATGGAAAATTTCATCATGGTTCCATAACTATAAAGCATTAAAACTATAAATCATAAACAAACATGAATTTTGCTAGCACTAATCTAAAACCTAACTTTTTTCAAGAAGTTCTGATCCAAATTTCTCTCTACTCAGGCCATATAAATGGAATCTATGGATATGTAAAGTTTCAGAGCAATGATATCAACATTTTGTCTTTGAAAATGCAAGCCTAACAATGCCTAAATAATGAGATGAAAATCAGAAGAACTTACCTTGCAGCTGGAGATCGTGTTTTGAATTAAAGCTTGATTCAAATTGCTGTGATGATCTGGTTAGCTTCCTTAACCCAAGTACCTAATGCAATGGAAAGATTAAACTATGGATGGATGGAATGTTCTGGAGAAGCCAATATGTAATGCTCTGTTTTTGAAAATGGAGATTGGTGAAGATGATGCTACAGTCTAAAAATAGAGGTTGGGATAACTTCTATATGTGTATCAGAAACTTTGTGGATGGTTTGGCCAAGAAACGCATGAGGGGTTTTGGAGATTGCGTTGCAATTTCTAGTTCTAGAGAGTTTTAGTGAGTTTCAAGGCTCGTCCAATCCTCATCTTGCAAATGAAGGTTTAATTTATAGGCAAAGGGTCTGGAAGCTTAGTGAAGTCAGAAGTACAAAATCACATGTTGTGGATTTTGAATTGTTGTTGAAGTAAGCCTAGACAAACATGGTTTCAAGGCAAGATAGGGTGTCTAGCAACTTTAAACACGCATGTTCTTAGTTGTATGGGATGCTTGTGCAGAAAGAACAAACACAAAGCTCAAGGAGAGTGGACTTTGTGATTAAAGTCACTTTTCCAGAATGGAAGTGTGAACTTTCTTCCTTAAATGGC